TCCATATGATATAAATAAATGAATGAGGGAGAAGGGAATGCTCTCTTTTATAGTTGATTGTTGACTAGAAGCTGAAGAAGGAATGATGGAATTAAAAATCAATATTTAATATTGATAAACATTATCACAGTGGTTATTCCAATGGGGGTTATCGATGGATGCTAAGGCAGATAGATGGAGATTTGATGATGTAGCAGATGCTTAGGAATTACAAAGGGACAGGGGCGCCTGGGTGGCTTAGTCGGTTAAGCGTCCGACTTTCGCTTAGGTCATGATCTCGCGGTTCGTGGGTTCGGGCCCCGCGTCGGGCTCTGTGCTGACTGCCAGCTCAGAGCCTGGAGCCTGTTTCAGAGTCTGTCACTCCCTCTCTCTCTGACCCTCCCCTGCTCACGCTGTCTCTCTCTCTCTCTCCTAGAAATAAATAAATAAAAAAAAAGGAATTACAAAGGGACAGTGGTAAATTTATGAAGGAGAAGCCTGCCAAACTGGATATGGGTTCACCCCCTGCACTTTCTGATGTCATGCACTTGAAAGGACATAACATTATTTTCCTTTGGCCCTTAGGTTGAGGAACATCTTGCAGAACTGAAAACCTTGTGCTCTTTAAGTTGATTCCTGATGAAATCCAAGGTGAGACAAAGGCAGTACCCAGATTAAAGGAGACTGTAGATATGTAACAACCAAGTGCAATATGTACTTGGATCTAAAAGGGCAGATATATTATTGGGACAGCTGGTGAAATTTGAAAGGTATCTGTGATTTAAATAGTGGTGTTGATTTGCTGTTTAGAATAGTGTATTAATTTGCTATGGCTGTTGTAACAAACCGAGTGGCTTAAATAATAGAAATTTATTGTCTCACCGTTGTGAAGGCCAGAAGTCCAAAGTCATGGTGTTTGAGAGAAAAGTCTATTCCATGCCTCTCCCTAGCTTCTGGTGGTTTGCTGGCAATCTTTGGCATTCCTTGGCTTGTAGGCACATCAACTGTATCTCTGCCTCCATGTACACATGGTGTTCTCATTGTATGTAGATTCCCCTTTTTGTAATGACATTAGTCATATTAGATTAGGAGTACACCTTACTGCAGTATGACCTCATTTTAATTTATCCAGTTACATCTGCAATCACCCCATTGCCAAATAAGTTCACATTCTTAAGACACTGAGGATTAGGACTTCAGTATATGAATTTTGTGTGTCAAAATGCAACCCATAACAGATGGTTGTATTGGGGTTGAAAGAAATGAGCAAATATACCCAAATGTCAAATGGGGAAATTAGGGTATAATTGGTATAATAAAAAGATACCAGAGTTTTTGATACCATTTTTTTTTTTTTTTTTTTTTTTTTTTTTAAGTAGGCTTCATGCCCAGCACAGAGCCCAATGCAGGGCTTGAACTCATAACCCCAAGATCAAGACCTCAGCTGAGATTAAGAATCATATGTTTAACCAACTGAGCCACCCAGGTACCCCTTCTTGATACTGTTCTTAAATGTTTTCTGTAAGTTAAAACTTATTTCAAAATTTTTTAAAAAATCCAATGAGGTGCTGAGTTTATATATTACATAAGACCTTGGTGCTAAACCTATCATGTAGAAGGAAAGATAAAGGTGTTTGTGTAGCTTCATCGTCAGGGAAATACAAATCAAAACGATGGTGAGATACTACCTCACACAGGTCACCATGGGTAAAATTAACAACATAGAAAGCAACAGATGTTGGTGAAGATGTGGAGAAAGGGGAACCTCTTACACTGTTGGTGGGAATGCAAACTGGTGCAGCCACTCCAGAAAACAGTATGGAGGTTCCTCAAAAAGTTAAAAATAGAACTACCCTATGATACAAAAATATGGATTTGAAGCGGTACATGTACCCTGATGTTCATAGCACCATTATCAACAATGGCAAAACTGTGTACAATATTTTTTAATGTTTATGTATTTATTTTGAGAGAGAGAGAGGGCATGAACATGCAGGGGAGGGGCAGAAAAGGATAAAGAGAGAATCCCAAGCAATCTCTGAGCTATTAGCCTAGGGTCCAACTCCAGGCTCGATCTCATGAAAGCAAGATCATGACCTGAGTTGAAATCAAGAGACAGATGCTTAACTGACTGAGCCATCCAGGCCCCCCAACAATGGCCAAAATGTGGAAACACCCCAAATGTCCATCATCTGATGAATGGATAAAGAAGATGTGGTATATATATACATATAAATATATATGATGGAATATTACTCAGCTATCAAAAAGAATGAACTCTTGCCATTTGCAATGACATGGATGGAGCTAGAGTATATTATGCTAAGCAAAATCAGTCAGCAGAGAAAGACAAATACCATATGATTCCACTCACACGTGGAAATTAAGAAACAAAACAGATGAACATGGGGAAAGGGGAAAAAAAGAGAGAGGAAGCAAACTATAAGACTGGGTTTTGTTTGCTTGTTTGTTTGTTTGTTTGTTTGTTTTTTAGTGAGACAGAGAGACCATGAGTGAGGGAGAAGGATAGAGAGAATTTTTTTTAAAGTTTTAATTTTAGAGAGAGAGTGCAGGAGAGGGGCAGAGGGGAAGAGAGAGAGAGAGAGAGAGAGAGAGAGAATCCCAAATAGGCTCCACACCCACTGAGGGCTGGATCCCATGACTCTGGGATCATGACCTGAGACAAAAGCAAGAGCTGGACACTCAACTGACTGAGCCACTGAGATGCCCCAAGAGACTCTTTTTTTTTTTTAAGTTTATTTATTTTTGGGAGAGACAGAGCATGAGGGGGAGAGGAGCAGAGAGAGAGGGAGACACAGAATCTGAGGCAGACTCCAGGCTCTGAGCTGTCAGCACAGAGCCAGATGCGGGACTTGAACCCACAAACTGTGAGATCATGACCTGAGCCGAAGGCAGACACTTAACCAACTGAGCCATCCAGGTGCCTCAACAGACTCTTTAACAAGAGAGAATAAACTGAGGGTTGATGGAGGTTGGTGAGGGATAGACTAAATAGGTGATGTGTGTTAAGGAGGGCACTTGGTATGATGAACACTGATGTTACATGTAAGTCATGAATCAGTAAATTCTACTCCTGAAACCAATATTACACTATAGGTTAACTAACTAGAATTTAAATAAAATTTTGAAAAATAAAAATAAAAAGTGTTTGTGTAGCCTTATTGTAAACTCGTCTGAGACATAAGTGAGGGTATCAGAAACTAACATATTATACTAACATAACATTTCACAATTACAAAAACCAAAACCAAAAACAAACCCCTTATTTTATTTATCCCTTGTAACAATTTATGAAGCAAGAGATTTCTCAATTTTATAAAAAAAAATAAAGTTCAGTGACTTCCTCAAGATCACACTCACAAACAGATAATAGATAAACTGAGGCATATTAAACATTCAAAGCATTTATTTGAGTAAAAATGAATTTGAAAGGCGTGGCTCAGTCCGTTGAGCAACCAACTTCAGTTCAAGTCATGATCTCATGGTCTGTAAGCTGGAGCCCCGAATCGGTTCTCTGCTGTTAGCACAGAGCCTGCTTCAGATCCTCTGTCTCCCTCTTTCTGCCCCTTCCCAACTTGTGCCCATGCTCTCTCCTTCTCTCAAAATGAATGAATGAACGAATCAATTAATGAATGAATGAATGGATTTGAATGGGGCAGGACCAAACCAGAAGTGCTTAGGCACATTTTGCAGACAGGAGTCAGGAAAGGCAATTATTTGGCTGGCTATGGTTTAAACCCTCCTTGACTGTGATTGTCCTCAGTGTTTTGATTTCTTAAACTTGGGGAATTTACAGGCTTAGATTTTGGTTTGCTAATGCCGGGCACACACCATTAGCATCACCTCAGTCCAATGGCCTCCGTGTTTAATTGACTTAACACAAGTCCTAAGTGATTAGTTTGACCCCATCTAGGTTTTTTGACTCTTAAAGTAACCCTCTTGTGGCAACAGCAAACAATAATATTAGTTGGCTCTAAATAAAACTGTGGCATCATTTGTACCTTTTTGGGGGAGAACCAGGTCTTCTTATCAAGGTCAAAATGAAGTTTAGGTAAGAAACCCTAACAGTTCCAGGTATGAGGTCCACTACCACACACTGCGTCCTCTGCTGGCCACCCTCCCCCCCACTGCCCCACTTATCCCAGGGGGTCCTCACATCTTCACATGGGCTTCGATTTCCGTCATAGACCTTTGGGCCAGTGCCAGGGGAACAGGGCCAAGAAAAGGCCTTCAACTCTTGCCCCAATGACAGCCTCCTAGACGACCCTCCCAGCCAACAACTCTTTAATCACGACCCCTCTCCCATATTATTGCCCCAACATTCAAGTTCCAATTACACATTCTGGCTCCGATGATCAATCATGGTCTTTGTATTTCTATAGACCCCCCCTCCCCTACTTGGGCTCCCACAGTCCAACTATAGTAGTCCTCTGGAAAGCAGGGCGGAAGTTAGGAAGAAAGCAAAGTGGGTTTCAGCCTCCTTTCCCCCTCCCCCCCCCATCCCGGCTCAGCGGCCCCAAAGAAGACATCTTGGAGAAGAAGTAGCTTGCTTGCACTTCCTCCAGCTCCACACCCATCAGGGTTAGGAGAGCCCTTTCCCCAGGCCTCCTTCCACCACCCAAGGTAAAGCTGGAATGGGCTGACAAGGGCTCACAGTAGCACACTACCTGCAATTACTCACGTCTGTCTGTAGGGGCATAAGACCTTGGGCCTTGAGCCTAGAGACCCAGAATGACTCGAGCAGTTCCAGCTTGTCTGCCTCTGTGTTGCCAAGTCACAATTATAGTAAAGTGGACTGACTTTAGGAACCACTTAGTTCAGACCATTCACATTGCACAGATGATTATACGATTGCCTCTTTTCTCTCTTTGATGGGGGAATTAGGGTCACCCCCGGCAGGTGCAGGACTTGCTGCTCCCATGCCCCTTAATCCTGGCGTTGCTGAGCAAGGGCTTCCGTCCCAGTCCCGCTGATCCAGTCAGCTGTCACTGTGAGTTAGTATGGCGGAGGAAGAAGGTGATGTGGATGAGGACGACGTGTTCCTGGCGTTTGCCCGGCGTCCCTGCCCTCCCAGGGGTCTCCTGCGTCAGGCCTTAGACAAGGCCTTCTTTATCTTCCTGGTCCTCATCCTGACGCTACTGACACTGGAGGCTGTTCTTAAGCTGCTGTGGCTGCTACCATGGGCAAGATTTGGGGACTGGCTCCTGAGAACACCTCAGAAGGAGGAGGAGCTGGAATTGTGACCACCTGCGGCAGAGGTGAGAGGTGGGGACAGGAGGGAAATAGAACGTGGGGGGCTGTGGAGGGGACACGTGCATAGCTGTCTTAAGCTTTTTGCATCTATATTCTGGGAAAATTTTTTGAAAAAGTTTGTACTTCTCACGTATGTCTAACCATCTAAAATTTTTCATCAGGAATTAAAATTATTTCAAGGATGTAATTTCTGGCATATTGAAAATATTCACATTTTGGGGCACCTGGGTGGCTCAGTCAGTTAAGCATCCAACTTCAGCTCAGGTCGTGATCTCTGGTTCTTGGGTTCGAGCCCCAAGGCGGGCTCTCTGCAGTCAGCGTGGAGCCCGCTTTGGATCCTCTGTCCTCCTCATTCTCTGCCCCTCCCCCACTCATGCACACACTATCTCTTTCTCAAAATAAACTTTTTTTTTTAAAAGGAAAATAGGGGTGCCTGGGCGGCTCAATCAGTTAAGAGTCAGACTGGCTGAGGTCATGATCTCATGGTTGGTGAGTTCCATCCCCGTGTCCTCTGTGCTGATAGCTCAGAGCCTGGAGCCTGCTTCGGATTCTGTGTCTCCCTCTCTCACTGCCCCTTACGGGCTCATGCCCTGTCACTCTCTCTCCTTCAAAAATAAATAAACATTTTTAAAAACTTAAAAAAGTTAAAAAAGGAAAATATTCACATTTTAAAATAAAACAGATCACCCTTTGAACATCCAGGGGAATGGTAGTATCAGAGTGACTTGATACTCACCACTATGCACTTAAAAATAAACAAGCTCATAACTACAAGTTTATTCTTTTCCTTCTTTCATGACTTTTTTTCCCTTGAACATCTAATACCAATCCACTTCCCCACAGACAATTTTATGCTTTTATACTTGAAAGTCTTTTACTGACTGATCTAGTTATGTTTACATCTATATTACATCTATCTATTATGTTTACACTATACTGTAATCTAATAAGTGTGCAATAGCATTATATCTAAAAAGAACCAAAACACCAACATACATACCTTAATTTAAAAATACTTTATTGTGGTGCATCTGACTTCAGCTCGGGTCATGATCTCACGGTTCGTGAGTTCGAGCCCCATGTCGGGCTCTGTGCTGACAGCTCAGAGCCTGGAGCTTGCTTGGGATTCTGTGTCTCCCTCTCTCTCTGCCCCTCCCCACTCACACCATGTCTCTCTCTCTCAAAAATAAGTAAACATTTAAAAAAATTTTTAATAAAAATACTTTACTGCTGGGGCACCTGGGTGGCTCAGTTAGTTGAACACCTCCCTTCAGCTCAGGTCATGATCTCATGGTTTATGGGTTCGAGCCTCACATCAGGCTCTGTGCTGATGGTTCAGAGCCCCCCTGGGGTTCTGTCCCCCTCTCTCTGCCCCTCTCCAACTTGCATTCATGTGCTCTCTTTCTTAACATAAATAAACTGTAAAAAAATACTACTAAAAAATGCTAAACGTCATCTGAGCTTTCAGGGAGTTTTAATCTTTCTGCTGGTGAAGGGTCTTTCTTAGATGCTGGTGGCTGCTGACTAGATCAGGTGGTTGCTGAAGGTTGGAATGGTTGTGCCAATTTCTTAAAATAAGACACAATGAAGTTTGCTGCATCGGTCACCTATTCTTTTCACAAACGATTTCTCTGTAGCATGTGGTACTGTTTGATAACATTTAACCACAGTAGAACTTTCAAAATTGGAGTCAATCCCCTCAAACCTTGCCGCTGCCTCATCAACTAAGTTTATGTCATATTCTAAATCCTTTGTTGTCATTTCAATAATCTTAAACTTAAAAGCATCTTCACCAGGAGTAGATTTCAAGAAACCACTTTTCTTTGCTCATTCATAAAAAGCAACTCCTCATCTGTTGAAGTTTTATCTTGAGATTGCAGCTAATTCAGTCACTTCTCCAGGCTCTACTTCTACTTCTGGTTCTCTTGCCAGTTCTACCACACCTGAAGTTACTTCCTACCCTGAAGTCTTGAACCCCTCAAAGTCATCCATGAGGATTAGAGTCAACTTCTTCCAAACTCCTATTAATATTTTGTCCTCTTCCCATGAATCACAAATGTTCTTAATGGATCTACAATGATGAATCCTTTCAAGGTTTTCAATTTACTTCACCCAAGTCCATTAGAGGAATCTTTGTATGCCAGTGACAACTTTATGAAATGTATTTCTTAAATATTAAGACCTGAAAGTCAAAATTACTCCTTAATTCATGGTCTTCGGAAAGGATGCTGTGTTAGCAGGCATGAAGACAACATTCATCTCATTGTATATCTTTGTCAGAGCTCTTGGATGACCAGGTGCATTGTCAATGAGCAGTAAAAGAACGGAATCTTTAAAAAAATTTTTTTTTAAATTTAGTTTTGGGGAGGGGCAGAGAAAGGGAGAGAATCCCAAGCAGGCCCTGCACTGTCACAGAGCCCGACATGGGGCTTGAGTTCACAAATGATGAGATCACAACCTGACCGAGATCAAGAGCCAGCCACTCAACCGACTGAGCCACCCAAGTGCCCCAAGAAAGAAATCTTTCTTTCTGAGCAGTAGGTCTTAAAGTAGGGCTTAACAGTAAACTATGTTGTCAACAGATTTGCTGTCATCCAGGCTTTGTTGTTCCATTTATAGAGCACAAGCAGAGTAAAGTTACCATAATTCTTAAGGGCTCTAGGATTTTTGGAATGGCAAATGAGCAGTGTCACCAGCTGCTTTAGTCCTTAACAAGAGAGTAAGCCTGTCATTTGAAGCTTTGAAGCCAGGCACTGACTTCTCCTCTCTAGCTATGAAAGTCCCAGATACTATCTTCTTCCAGCATAAGACTGTTTCATGTACACTGAAAATCATTGTTTGGTGTAGCCACTTTAATGATCTTAGCTAGATCTGCTAGATAACTTGAAGCAGCTTCTACATCAGCGCCTGCTCCATCACCTTGTTCTTTTGTTTTGAAGATGGCTTCTTTCTTTATACCTTATGAACCAACCATTCCAACTTTTCTTCTGCAGCTTCTTCACTTCTTTCAGCCTTCACATAACTGAAGAGAGTTAAGGTTAAGTTAAGAGAGAATGTTGTGGCTGGTTTGATCTTCTATCCAGACGACTCAAGCTTCCTCCATATCATCAATAAAGCCGTTTTGCTTTCTTATCATTCATGTGTTCACCGGAGTAGCACTTTTTATTTCCTTCAAGACCATTTCCTTTGCATTCACAGCCTGACTATGTGGCACAAGAGGCCTAGCTTCCAGTCTGTTTCGGCTTTCAACATGCCTTCCTCCCTAAGCTTAATCATTTCTAGCTTTTGATTGATTTATTCTTTTTAATGTTTATTTCTGAGGGGATGGGGGGACAGAGACTGAGACACACACACAGAATCTGAAGCAGGCTCCAGCCTGAAGCTGTTAGCACAGAGCCTGATGCAGGGCTTAAACCCACCAGCCGCAAGATCATGACCTGAGCTGAAGTTGTACACTTAACACACTGAGCCACTCAGACACCCCTAGTTTTTTATTTAAAGTGAGAGACATGTGACTCTTTCACTTAAACAGTTAGAAGCCATCGCAGGGTTATCAATTTCAATACTGTGTCTCAGAATAGGGAAGGCTGAGGAGAGGGAGAGAGATGGGGGAACAGTTGGTCAATGGAGCAGTCAAAAGACACCCATGGTATTTATTAAGCTCACTGTCTTATATGGGTGTCATTTGTGGTACTCCCAAACAATTATAATAGTAAATGATCACAGATTACTATAACAAAAGCAAAAATAATGAAAAAGTTTGAAATATTGCAGTACTTACCAAAATATGACACAGAGACCTGAAATGAGCAAATGCTGTTAGAAAAATGGTGTCAATAGGAGCACCTGGCTGGCTCAGTCAGTACAGCATGTGACTCTTCACCTAGGGGTTTTAGATTCATGCCCCATGTTGGGTATAGAGATTTCTTAAAAATAAAATCTTAGGGGCGCCTGGGTGGCTCAGCCAGTTAAGTGGTTGACTTCGGCTCAGGTCATGATCTTGTAGTTCGTGAGTTCGAGCCCCACATCTGGCTCTGTGCTGACAGCTCAGAAACTGGAGCCTGCTTCAGATTCTGTGTCTTCCTCTCTCTCTGCCCCTCCCCTGCTCAGGCTCTATCTCTCTGTCTTTCAAAAATAAATAAACGTTAAAAATTTAATTAATCAAATTCCTAAAAAAATGAAAAAAGAAAAATGGTGCTGATAGAGTTGTTCAACCCAAGGCTGCCACAAACCTTCAATTTGTAAAACAAACAAACAAACAAAAAAAAACAAAAAACAAAAAACAAAAAACCCCCCTACAATATCTGTGAAGCACAATAAAATGAGGTGTGCCCACATACCTTTTTGTTTTTTTAGAGGTGGGGAAGTCGGTTATAAAAGGAAACAGGAAGAAGCAGAACCTCGACTGCAGGCATTTACTCAGTAAGAACAATTTTGCGAAAGTTGAAGATCTAGAAATTAAATCCTTACTATCTCTTAAGTCTGAGTATCCTTTTGGAGAACGTTCATGTTCCCTAATTTGAAGACACTGTAAGCTTAGACATGGTGTGGGATTCTCTAACGGAGGCGAAGGTTTGAAGTTCTGGTACTCTGAGGGCTTAAGGATCTAAGAACCTCCGCGTCCTAAAAAGTGGCAAGATGCTCACCACTTGGGGGAAGCGGAAGGATGAAAGAGATGGGAATCTCCGTGTTAACCGTTCTGGCTTCCCCATGAGCTCACATCTGGACCCAGCCTGGCCTCCACGAGTCCTTCCAGGCTCCCTAAAGTTGAGTGAGGTGGGGGTGCGGGCGAGGCGGGCGTCGAAGTCAGTTTCTTCTCTCTTCGTTCTTTCCTCAGCTTTCCGGGATGAAGAGGAAGGAATGAGTCGAGACCCAAGGTATTTTACGAGTCTCACTTCGTCTGCTAGCCCTCACAGCGGCAATCTGCACAGATTCTTCAACCCTCACTCCCCACCCCCCCCGCCCCATATCGCCGTCCTAAGGCCCTAGA